ATTGAAGTTATATTTCAAATATATTTTTGTAGTGTTGACTTTCCAAGAGCAATCAGAAGAAGTATCTAAAAGGAGTATTTTCACAAATTTAGTTACAAAGTATGATCTGATCAGCTTAAAACTTTGTGATATAGACCTATGAAGAATACAAAATACTAGTACACTAGCGGTTGCTAGGCAACTTGTTCTTTTTCAACCTCATATGCCAGAACTTACTGATTTCTAGTTTTCTTTAGCTTCTTATATTATTTGTCAAAGACATTACAATCAAATTGTTGTTTATAACTATTTTTATCATTGTCTTAAAAATTTAGATCAAGAAAGCAAAGGGACCTGGCTTGATACTGATCAAGATAATATATCTATGAGTTATGATGATCTGATATCTGAGCTTAACTAGACTAGAAGACTTTTAGAGTCTACTCAAATAGAGAGTCAACAGAAATCACAATCAATAATAGAACTCAATGATCTAATTAATCAAATACAATGGGTTTTAGAAGATCAAAGAAATAAGATAGTTGAATTAAAAATTTAATTACAGAGAGCTTATGATAATATAATTATAACCCGTAATTTTTTAGAAAATCAAAGAACCGAAATAGCTGAATTGAAAGATTATTTACAAAAGGCTTATAATAATATGATTATAGTCTATAATTTGTATGAGGAATAATGTAGAAGCAATAAAACACTTGCTAAATAATAAAATTTTCAGTTTGATAATCAACAAAAGTGTATTAGCTCAATTGTAGAAATAGCAAAGACAGAATGTACGTCATTATTTAAAAATTTTGATCAATTAATCTGGAATAGTGATAGGTTTTCTTTGGAAAATCTTATGATATATAGTTCCTATGAGTGGCTTAATAAATACAATCAGGTTAGTATTAAAGTTTTTTTTAAAAAATAATATTGTTAAATTATTTAAGTCATTTTAATTTATAGTATTTGCATATTGATATAACTTCAGTCTGGGATATTTCCAAATTTGGATCAGCACTCAGATTTGTTTTAGAATTTAGAAGATCATCAATCATCCATAAAAATAATTTTGATTGGCTATTTTAGTCTAAATCTATATGATTTTTTATGATTTTTTTTTAAATGGCAAAATGCAAGTTTGGTTAAATTGACAAAAATATATTAAAAATAATATTTGAATTTCTGAAGATTTAGAATCTACTGAAGTTATAGTTGAATCCACTTATGGGTTTAAGTTATACATGTTTAAAAAAGAGTGGTTAGTTAAAAGTTTTATGGCTGGTTTGGGTTTAAATTTGCTTTTCTTTATATTTGTTCATGCTAATCTAGTTGGAATTTTGTTTAAATTAGCTTAAGCATGATTCATTAGACACTAAACCAGCTTATTTTAGTTACCAGTCTTAGTAATATTAATGTGTAAGAAAAAGTTAAAGAGTTAGTGAATTTAAAGCAGAAAAAAAAAGGAAAATTTAAGGTGATTTATAACAAGAATATAGCTTATTAGATGTTATCTACGTACAAAGTCACAAGTAAAGCAGTAGGAGCGATCAAAGAAAAGAACCTAATCTCGACCAGTGAGGTTTTTTTATCTTCTCCATTAGTTGAATTAGAGGAAAAGATAAGTGAATTTATTATTAATTAAAAAAAAAATCAACATATAAGAAAATACTTACATATCAATTTCTATTCCAAAGTTAGAACTTTTAAAAAAATCAAATATCAGTAAGTTTTTTATAATTACCAAAATATATGTACTGACACACAATAGTACTAATCTTTATTAATAACTATAAGTTCTGTTTAATAAGAATTTGAAACAAAAGATCAAAAATAGTACAATAGCAGTAAAATAAGTAAAATAATAGAATTTATTATCTTATAACTATATGTGATCAGTTAAGTTTTTTATTCTATTTTTTCATCAGCCAGTTCACTAATTATATTTTCTTCATCTACAATTTCTTTATCATTACTCAAATCTCGTATTTTTTGTAAAATGGTTAGTAATATAACTTTTGACTTATTTTTTAAATTAGTGTATTTTGAATGTTGTGATTCAGAAATTGAGACAAGCACAGAATTAATAATTGCAATAAGTTCTTCTTTTCTTATTCCACTTTCATCTTTTAATGCATAAGCTTCCTGCTCCATTACTGAAATCGGGTGCCAAATATCTGTACTTGTTTGCTGCAATAAGATATTTCTAATAAATATTTTTCTTTTTTCTTGTACCAGTATACTAAATGATTTTATTTCTTCACTTAAGTAAATGTCACCATCTAAATTAGTTATTGTATCATTTTTTTCTCTGGATTTAAAATTGTTTTTTTCTCAAGTATGTACAAAAGTGCTATTGTTCTTTATAAGAATCAGACCAAGTTCATAATCCTAAATTTTCATTATCTTCATATCCAATAACATTGAACAAATTTGTACACAACTAAATTTTTTTTAATGTTATATTAAAATTAATTAATACTAATAATATATATGCTATATAATTAATTAGGGTTTGTTAATTAGAATTTGACTTTTTCAAATTATTTAATATAGAATTATTTAGCTTGAGAATATATGAGTGACAGAAAGAGAAATTTATAAATCGATTTACTACTTTTCACTTTACTGAATTCGGCTTCTGTTTACAAGGCTAATATATAATACTATATAATTAGTATTTCGAAAAACTATTCTTTGTATTAAATGAATTTGTTAAAAGAAAATATTATTAAGGGCTAATCATTATGTAGATTAGATTTTTTAGAAGACCTGATATTTGCTGCTTAATTTTATTCTATTTAATGCAGGAACATAAGAACATTTATTAGTTTAAGTATTTATATTTATATTAGATGAAAAGTAATAATTTAATTTTTAGATTTTCTCTTTCTGTTACTTATATAATTAATAGAATTCTATTAATATACATAGTAATAAATAGCCTCTTATTTTTTTAATAGTCATTTTCTTTTAAAGTTATTTATTCAATACTATATAGGATAAGGGTTAGTATTTTATTAGCTGCAGATATGTATTATTAATAGATTGTTATTTATATAATATTGAATAAATAGCTTATAGAGAAAACACTATTAAAGAAATAAAATATAATCTTATTAATGCTATATATTAATACTCAAGTTAAATAATTTTAAGATTTTAAAATAAATAATTAGATTATAAATTAAGCAAATTAAGGGTAAATATATTTATTTAATTAACTTTAAAAAATTTGTGTAATTTCTTGTAGCAATCTTTTAATAGTGTTGTGATGTACTGGAGGAATCAAAGATTTTAATGCTTTATTAACTTTTTTTATAATAGAATTGAGATCTTGATGCTGATTATGCAGTCCAGAATAAGATACTGCTGAAGCATTTTTAATAACTTCATGAATATAAGGCTTCAAACTTAATAAATTTTCTTCATATGATACTTTTATTAACTCAAAAATCTTATAGCATCTAGCTGACCAAATTGAAGCAAATTGCCATTTACCATATAGATATGAAATAACATATATGGGCATTATTTTAAAAATTGCATTTCCTTAAAATAGCATAGTTGGTTTCAAAATAATGCCCATATATATCTCAAAATAACGTATACCCTGTATACTAATATTAATAAATCACATTTATATTTACCATTAGTGATTGGGATGTATCTTTTACCTTAAAATAACACCTATGTGTATACTTAAAATAATATGCATCTACTCGAAATAATATGCAGATGTGCATTATTTTGTGTAAATACAGTAGCTACATTTTGCAATAAAGGTTAATTTGTTCTAACTCCAGTGCGAAAGTTAATAATGGCTTGAAGATAAGTAAAAGTCTATTTATAATTATATTTATGTTATATTTTTAATTTTTTATAGTAAAAATGAATATGACACCAGGGATATTGATATCCACCCCTAATTTTATTATGAAAAATAGTTTTTTGCTAAAATTTAGAGTTAGAGTGCAGTTTAATGCCAAAATAGGGGTCAAATATAGTCCAAATTTTAAGTTATACAAGGTTTTAGGGGTTCCAGACATTTTTACTTAGTACACTAGACCCTGTTTCTTAGTTGGTTTTTTTGAGATATATTAGTTTTTATTAAAATTTAGAGTTAGGGTGTAGTTTTACGCCAAAATAGGGCAAATATAATAGTCCAAATTTAGGTTACACAAGGTTTTGGGGTGCTACAAACATTTTTACTTAGTATGCCAGACCCTATTTCTTAGTCAATTTTTTGAGATATAGCGCTCTGGATATCAATATCCCCCGGTAACAATTAGAAATGGTCTTTTTTATATTATAAATTAAAATAAATAATATTTAACCTGTTCAAATTTTAATTTATATGCTTTATTAAATTGTTTTTTAGCCCATTACAAGTATCCATTAGAAGTCAGATTATAATGTTTTAATACATATAGCCAAATTAACTCTAATGCTATAGAGTAATGGTATATATAACATATCGAGTTTTATGCTTTATAGTGATCAATATATTTTTAAAAATACTCTAATTAATTATCTGTTCGATAACCTTGGCAGTGAACAAATATTTTTAGATCTATTTCTCTTAAATTAAGAAGTTAAATATAAGTAATTTTAAAATATTAATATAATTTAAAATTATTTTACACCAATTTAGTTTAATGAATAATTTAAGCATATTCATTTTTCATGTAGAGCATCTGAAAGTAAAATTAGCCATAGAAAATTTTTTTTAACTTTAAAGCTTGATTATATAGTATCCATCACATATTATAGGTATCTATTTGTACTGTCCAAATTTAATTACAGCAATTATTTCAATGTGCTCTAAAACTTTTTAAACATTTGCTAAAGAATTTGGATTAACAGAAATCAGATCAGGAATATATAAATCCAGAATGTTTATATTTTGATTCATTACGGTTTCTTGTATTATGCTAATTTCAGGATTTTGTCTAATACTAGAATTTGTTAGTTCATAAAGTTTGAATATTATTGATTTATTTTTATTTTTATGTAATAATGTTTGCTAAAATGATGCGATTTGATTAATTGAAGTAAGTGTTAGCAACTTAGCATTGCAATTAGGGCAGTTTCATTTTTTATTATCAATTTCTTGCTTAAAACATTTTAAACATTTTTTTGTTTTATTCGTTGAATTATTTTTTTTTTAATAAGCTGACGATTTCATTTGTTTTTTGATATTTTTTAGCATTTAAGTTATTTATTATTTCATTAATAAAACAATAGAGTTCTTTTTCAAGTTCTTTATTCATATTACTACTTAAATAAAATAATTATGTTATATCATTTTCACTTAATAAATTATATTGCCAAAGATCGACTTTTAATTGGCTATTATCATTCGGATTAAAATTTAAAGCTATAAAACTAGTTACTATATGATATATAATGGTATTATGTCCTCAATCTAAGTAATTTTTTTGGCTTTTTTGTTCATTATCAAAAGCTAATATTAAAAATCTATTGGGCAAAGGTTTAGATTCAATATTAAAATTTCAATCCAATTTATAAATTTTGTATAACCACCTTCACTGCTTATATGATTATCGATATCTATAATAATCTTTGATCAGGCAATAGAATATTTGATTGCTAATGCAGCAAGATTTATTTCTGAAATATATTTGCTATGTCATGATTTATAAATTGTATCTACAATAACTATTCGCTTAAAAATTTTATTTTGATTTATTTGTTCATCATCATTATCTGTAATTATTTCAATAAATTTTACTATTACAGGATTGCGATGGTTAAGGCAATTAGATAGATTATATGCTAATAAATTTTCTAGTAAAAATTGCTTACAATTGTTAATTAAATAAATAATATCATCATATAAAAGCTTCTATTCCAATAAAGCAATCTTAAAAATTTCTGTTATATACTTTTGTTTACTATTATATTATTCATTTCACTGCTTTTTTAAATATATATTTTTAGCTACTAATATATTTTTTTATTTGTTAATATTTTAACTTGATTTTGATACGAATTTAAACTTTTTAATTGAATATTAAGATCAGCAATTTGTTTTTAAGAGATTCACATTTATATTCTAGCTCTAAAATTTTATTATTTTTAGTTTGAATAGCTTGTAATTGCTGAGTATGATCAGTTAAAATATTAGCTAAAGAATTTTTTAATATATCGATTTGTATTAAAAATTATGATCACTATCTATTGTTACTTGAATTCCAATATCTACATTTGTTATTTGGTCTTTATTTAAATTAAAGTTATTGTTATCTGGCAAATTTTTGAAATTACGACTTCTTTTTCAAGGATAATCTGATAATCTATTCTTTAAGTAATCTAAATAATTATCTTTCGCAACAATTTGATTATAATGTTTTTCACAAATTATATGCTTTTCTAAATTATTTTAAAGATAATTTAATTTAGGAAAATAAGAACTAAATAATTGAATTCGACTTTTAATAAGGTTAGTATTTGCAATTCAGATTTACTGTTTTGCTTTAGTTACATACTCAATTAATTGCTTCATGTTATGATAAGATTCAACAAGCACAGGATAAAGTTTCAGTATTTGATTCTTAAAAATATAATTATATAAGTAATTGATTTTTAAAAAAATTTTATAATTTAAATTTTAATTTACTAACCATTCATTTTTTTAAATATGAGAATGACCAGAAAAAAATAATACTTTAGGCTTTTGACTTTATTATTTATTAGATTCTCAGCCATAAAAAATTAAATCAGTAATATATATAACATGTCATTAAAGGTTAGATTTTATTAATAATAAATGATAAAAGCCCAATGTTTTATTTTCTCTTGCATTAACTCAAATACTAAATACAATCATTTATTAGATTATTTATAATAATAACTATACTATACCCAAAGTCAACACCTGTTTAAAGTTGCGATCTTAAGATATCTAAAATTATACTTGCCTATATTACTAACTAATATATGCAAAGAATATATAATTTCAAAGGAGCAAATTTCAATTAACTTCAAACGTCTGAAGTTGCAACTTTAGGTAAATTTTAGCTTTAAACATGAATAATATGACTATATATAATTAATTATTTGCTTATCCAGTTTTTAATTTTTAATTATGTATAAAATTTTTTGTACATAATAATACTTGAAATATATAA